TTAAAAAAAAAAAAGGTTTGGCAACCAAGATTATCATATTGAGAACTCTTAGATGTGATAATGAATGAGTATGGCTAACAATCTACTGGAGGCTGCAAAAGTTTCCATAGAGAAATAGCTGTCTGCTCCAGCAGCTTTAATTAACCTAGAAGATAACTGGAGAAAGTACTAAACAGCACAGGAAATGATCCAGGCTTGTATGGATGTGGTAGGCTTTAATATACTTTTAGATAAATGGAACAACATTCAGCAAACCCTATATGTTTCAGTTGATGTCTTCACTTTTAATGTAGAACTAAAGGCATTTTTTTCTTTTGGAAAGAGTAAAAAGGGCTATAACCCCTGTCATTTTTTTTAGTCATCTATATGCTACTAGGCAGATTTCCCTTTACTTCCTATTTCATAACCAAAGGAGAAAAAGGAAGTAAGTGGAAATCTCCTCAAAGTGAGGGAATTGGTTGTCACCAGGGACCCCATTTGAAGATATGCCCTTTATTACTGTTCTGGGCACAACTCAAAATTTGTGGTTTTCCTTCACTTTTGACCATAACAATAAACATGAAAAACAGACAGAGAGAAGATCTCTAACTGGGGCACAAAAGTAATAAAACCCTGACAAAAGTTCTAATCCCTCTCAATTCTGTCCAAAACCAAAAAAAAAAATTTTGTCTTTTGTTATACTTTAACCACTTCAGCTTTTAGGATGTACATGGTAGATCCAGAGAGTGGCGAGTTCAGCAGAGGCTTCTGCCTGCTATAACAGCTACAAGCTTCTACTTGTTTTCTTCAGCAGGTTCCCTACTGTAAAGTGAAAGTGATCTGAGTGGCTGTATAGTCCTCCCCACCAGCACAGCCCCCCCCCCCCCCCCCACATGCTCATGGTTCCCTCACTCTTAGGATGAGCCCCAGACTCAAATGGCTTCAGGATGCAGGGGGAGTCCAAGAAACATCAATTCCTCACTCTTCTCTGTGGTGAATGAAAGTAGGAGCAATGAGGATTTTATCGTGTCCATTTTCAGAGCTGACATTCCCAGGCTGATATACCCAAGAAGTAACTAAGCACATTTGTTTGGCTAGTTGCTTTGGAGGGAAGGGGAGACAATAGGGTCTATTGACCCCCAATGTCTCAATAACGAGTATCTGTCACCTGCCCAATGCTATTACATCAGGGTCTGTTATCTTTTTGATAAATGTTTGCTGGATTAAAAAAATAAAAACAAATTCCAATCATAAAATTATAATAAAGTTTATTGATCCCCCCAAAATTAAACATTATTCTGGTTGCCCTGCACACACCCAGAAATGCAAACACATGCTCAGGCTGCACGTGTATATGTAAACCATGACTACACTACACATGTGAGATTGCCATGAATGTCAAAATGAGAGCAGTAATTCTAGCGTCATAGCTCATGATTAACTCTAAACTGATGAGTAATAAAAGCTTTTAAAGCACCGCCTATGGATATTTTTGGGAACCATATTTTTCACAATATCATAGACAGGGCAAATTTTAGGACTTCACATGTTTGGTATCTATTTACTCCAAGCAATCATATCTTTTACATTTTACCAAAACACTGAGTATTATATTGTGTTTGTGTGCACTAAATTTCATTTAATTTTTGTTTTTTTTCATGAAAATGTGCATTTGATAAATAGTTGCACAAATAAAAGATTGCAACTACTATTATTTTATTCTACAGGGCTTCAGATTTTAAAAAATATATAGCAATTAAATGTATACAAAAATCAAAACAATTCTCTAGAGTGGAAGCGTTAAAGCTCAGCAGGTGATGGTAGATGAATATTTGACAAATCTAAAGGTGCTAATGCATTCCCTCATTTTTTATGGAAATGAGCCATCTGCAGTGTCAAGGGAAAGGTGAATTTGTCTCTCTCTCAAAAAAAAGTACTGGTCTTCCCAGACAGCACCCTGGCAAGCTAGAAATGCCAGTGTGTACAATGCTAGCTCCAGCCAGTAGGGGGCCAAATCAGCTCGTGACTTCAAGTAGTCTGCAATTATATGGTTTACGTGCTGCCTGTGACTGCTGCGTTCAGTCAGGTTTGTTGCCTGTGGTTGGAAAAAGAACTTAATAATATGAAGATCTGAGGCATGTTGGGCATGAGAGGGAATCCTGACACTATGTGAAAATGTACCCAAGAATTTCTTCCACAGAACCTCTTTTAACCACTTGCCTACCAGGCACTTTAACCCCCTTCAAGTCCAGGTCAATTTTCAGCTTTCAGTGCTGTCACACTTTGAATGACAATTGCGCAGTCATGCAACACTGTACCTACTGTATATCAAACTTTTATAATTTTTTTTCACACAAATAGAGATTTTTTTGATGGTATTTAATTGCCACTGGGGTTTTTTTTTTTCCACTATAAACAAAAAAAGAGCAAAACATTAAAAAAAAAAAGTGTTTCTTTATTTCTATTATAAACTTTAGCAAACAGGTAATTTTTCTCCTTCACTGATGTGTGTTGATGAGGCTGCACTCATAGGCAGCACTGATGGGCACTGATAGGCAGCACTGATGGGCACTGATAGGCAGCACTGATGGGCACTGATGAGGTGACATGGATAGGCAGCACTGATGGGCACTGATAGGCTGTACTGATGAGGTGGCACTGATGAGGCAGCACTGGTGTGCATTGATGAGGAGCCACTGATGATGCCGCACTGATAGGCAGCACTGATGGGCACTGATGGGTGGCACTGACTGGCGGCATTGATGGGCACTGCTGGGTGGCACTGCTGGGTGGCATTGCTGGGCAGCACTGCTGGGAAGCACTGATGGGTGGCACTGCTGGGCTCTGATGGGTGGCACTGCTGGGCATTGATGGTCAGCACTGCTGGGCACTGATGGCCAGCACTGTTAATCGGCTATAGCGTGGTTGTAAAGTTTTTAAATAGCACATTTTTAATATGCCAGCTTGCCTCTGCTAGCTGAGCTTGCAGAACCTCTGTCTCTCCCTTTAGTCCTTCATGATATTATGTATACAAGGGAATGTTTAACTTTATTATCAGTTATAGCAAATAGAAGGAAAAATGATGTAGTGCTTTGGTGCACCTAAGAACATGGAAAATTTGTGTACAAAACTATAATATGTAAGTACACTGTGATGTATGCAAACAAAGGGCAACTTTGTTTTTGTCAGTCATAAGTTAAAATAAACAAAATACCCTAGCAAAAGTATGAAAAAAAAAATATGTTCCCATACAAAATAAAACCTAAAACACTAAACCTCTAGCCTTAAGCACCAAGCTGAACCCTATTTTTTTTTCTTCACCTTAGCTGAAAGCAAAAAAAATGCTCTACAATTTATTTAATTAGTCAATAAATTGTAAATCAATATTTTAATAAATAAATTAAACCTAATAAAACACAAAAAAAACAGAAAGGGGGATCAGCAGCTGATCAGAAACTTGCTGGCACACACAAAAATGTAGTCCTAAAAAAGACTGTTTATGCATTGTGAACACAGTAGTGGGAAAACCCTAAAAGGTAGCACACCGCTCTGGAATTCTCAGTATTGTAGCACAGTAGAACACTTTGTATAGAACTGTATAGAACTGCTTATAGTACTAAATAGCAGCAACTATCTCATCCTTCAAAACATAGCATCATACAGCACTTCATATAGAAATGTCTAACACTGGATAGCAGCAACTATCTTTTCCTGCAAAATTTAGCACAATATAACATTGTGTATAGCATGGTATAGCTTTGTATATCATTAGTTATCTTTCCTGCAATACGTAGCATAATAGATCATTGTGTATAGCACTGTATAGCAAGTATTCAACACATATTGACAAAAGATCACTGGGGGCCTTAACTTTTATAGTAAGGGGCAGGCACAGCAAAAAAATGATTGTTTGTTCTAAGCCACCTGAACACATTTCAAAGGCCAGGCAGGTAACTGGTTGCAGTAGCAGCGCGTGACCACATTGGTATGTCCTTTTCCTGAAGTATGAACGTCTAGAATGTGCCTCAAACTCATGTTCACTCTGAACCCAACATTTTTTCCTAGTGGCTACAAAGTGGAGGCTATCAAACAGTTGATTTGCATTTTCTAAAAAAAAACCCTCTTAAATCCTTTTAACCATTTTAATGTCCCTCAGGGTGGAAATTAGGGGTTTTACACACGCTCCTGGTTATGTCTGGGGAAGAAATTAATGGAGCTTAATCTACAGTGGAGCATTAACTTCAGTGGAGTGCGAGTGATATAGCAGGAGTCTAATAGATCCCTGATGTCTCATTAATGAGAACCTGTCACTGTAAAAATGCTATCACATAGAGGGCTATTAGTCCCCTATGTAATAGCATTAAAGTTAACTAAAAGAGTAATTGTAAAAAAAATAAAGGATAAGTTCATCTTTTGGAACATGTAATATGTACCACCCGCATTTAGAGTGGAACATGTAGTATGTTCCAGCAGCTGCTGTCTCTCCCCTCTTCCAGTGACAGTGAGTAGGAATCTTCTGCTGTCACTATTTGAAAATAATGCGGCCGTGTGGGGCTTTGGTAGAGTCATTCATTCACAGTTTCCTGTGAATGACTTGAACTACAAGTACCATCAGCCTTTGAGACTGGCGGTTTGTAGTTCTGAATGAACTGCAGGATCGCTGATGAGTGGCCTCATAGTTCATTGACAAGCCATGAGCTTGTAAACAGTGAGCCTGTATGAAGGTATGGGCTGAAAGCTGCAGGGCTTGTCTGTAGGAGTCTGGCATTGCACCCCTGATCCACTGATCATGGGTGCACTGCTTTCCAGACTCTTCAGGGAAAAAATAATAAATGCACATTTTTTCCTGCAAAAATATGTGCATTTATTATTTTACAAAAAGGTTAACTTATCCTTTAATAGTACACCCACCACCTAAACTTCCCAAAATATTTTGAGACCACCCTCATCATGTGCCCACACGAGTATGTAAACACACAAAATGATGGTGGCTATGTATTAAAATATTGATCTCACTACACCAGGGGCGGACTGACCATTTGGAAACTCGGTCACTGCCCGAGGGCCTGGGGTCAGTAGGGGGCCCCATGAGATGCCCCTGGTACCTTTTTCATAGGTTTTTTGAGTTTGGGCAAGGACACAGGAGCCACATGATCCCCTATTGCCCGGGGGCCCCATGAGTTGTCAGTCCGCCCCTGTACTACACGTTACATATTGCCATGCATGCCAAAGTAAGGACAACAATTATAGGGCCATTATTCATGGTCAACTTTAAACTTGTGAACTGTAAAAAATTTTAAAGAGTTAGCTATAGAAAATTTTGTGTACCAAAGTTTGTGTTCGTTTCACAGGTGTATTCAATTTGTAAGCTTGACATGTTGGGTTTCTATTTACTTGGCACAACCTCATATTTTAAATTGAACCAAATAAATGCAAAAAAAAAAAAAAGATTTCTCCATTCACACAAACAACTAACTGCAGCAGATTCTAAAAGGTTTTCCAACATGCTAATTTGACAAAAGTCAATCCAAAGATCAATTTTTGTTGAACAGGGACAGTCCCACACTGATTTAAATTCACCTGATCTCTGCTGAACTGACTGTATTTCAATTCTTCTATGGCCAGCTATATGCTCGCAGGAGGCTGAGATAAGTGAGGAATAGGAGAGTATAACCATGGCACAGTATTGTAGAGATGGCTTGGGACACCGGTGCAGCTATTTCTTTTACATTCATTAACCTTTTTCTTATGTTGTGGGATGTCTGTCCCAAACACATGAATCCTGAGGGACACCTAAAGCTGAAGTTTAATTAAGTGTTCTTCCATGGCAAGACCACTTACTGTTATCTCACATATATATTCTTATAATTATAGCCAAATTTACCACCCTAACTCCTCCCACAGTTTTTACGCTGCATAGACAGTAATATACCGAAACGTGTGGATTGTTCCCGATTGGTGTGCTATTACTTTGTGGAACATTTCGGTTCACAAATATCGGTGTTTTTGTGGTGAAATTGGTCCCATAGGAATGAATGGCGGAATGTTCAAAACTAGAGCGGGAGCTGACAAAAGCTAGAGTGTGAGCTGAAAAATCAGGACATGATTTCTAAACTGCCATCAGTTTATTATTATTATACAGGGCTTATATAGCGCTAACAGTTTGCGCAGAGCTTTTTAAAATGTAGGCAGACATTACAGTTACAATACAATTTGGTACAAGAGGAAACACAGGGCCCGGCTCGCTAGAGCTTACAATCTAAGAGGAAGGGTTGAGTGATATAAAAGGTAATGGCTATGGGGGATGAGCTGATAGAAGATATAAAAGGCAGTTTACTAGTTAGAAGCAGGATAGACTTCTTTAACTTGCCTACAGGGCACTTTTACCCCCTTCCTGCCCAGGCCATTTGTCAGATTTCAGTGATGTTGCACTTTGAATGACAATTGAGCGGTCATGCAGCATTGTACCCATATTAATTTGTTATAATTTTTTTAACACAAATAGTGATTTCTTTTGATGGTATTTACTCGCTTCTGGGTGTTTTAATTTTTGCACTATAAACAAAAAAAAAAGAGCAACAAATTTGAAAAATAAAAGTTTTTCTTTGTTTCTATTATAACATTTTGCAAACAGGTAATTTTTCTCCTTCACTGATGTGCGTTGATGAGGCTGCACTGATAGGCAGCACTGATCGGCCCTGATAGGCAGCACTGATGAAGTGGCACTGATGAGGCGCCACTTGTGGGCATTGATGAGGAGGCACCGATGATGCTGCACTGAAATGCCGAAATGATGGGCACTGATAGGTGGCACTGATGGGCACTGACAGGCAGCACTGATGGGCAATCACAGACAGCACTGATGGGCACTGATAGACGGCACTTATCGGCACTGACCGACTGCACTGATTGGCAGCACTGACTGATGGCATTGACTGGCGGCACTGATGGGCAATGCTGCTGGGCATTATTGAGGGGCGGCACTGCTGGGCACTGCTGGGTGACACTGCTGGATACTGATGGGTGACACTGCTGGGCACTAGTGGGTGGCACTGCTGGACACTGATGGGTGGAACTGCTGGGCAGCACTGATGGGTGGCACTGCTGGGCACTGGTGGGTGGCACTGCTGGGCACTGATGGGTGACACTGCTGGGCACTGATGGGTGGCACTGCTGGGCACTAGTGGATGGCACTGCTGGACACTGATGGGAGGCACTTCTGGGCACTGATGGGCAGCACTGATGATCAAGGCACTGATCATCAGTGCTCTGATGATCAGTGTGATTGTCCTCTGCAACATTTGTCAGTTATTGGCAGTTCTTTCATCATGGTGTGACAGCGTGAGGAAAATGCTGTTGATAACACTATATATTTACTGTATTCACTTTGTGATCTGCTGTGTCACTGGACACAGCTGATCACATGGTAAAAGGCTGCTGTGAATGGCCTTGTACCTGGTCATATACTCAGCTGTGTCCATAGGACACTCTGCTGGGGGCTCGTGGGGGGGGGGGGCATTCTGGGAGGACATCATATGATGCCCTCCCAGAACTGGACAACTGCTCTATAGCCGAATGACAGCTATAGCACAGTTGTCCAGTTCTGAGAGGGCGTCATATGATGTCCTCACAGAATGCACCCCCCACGAGCCCCCAGCAGAGTGTCCTATGGACACAGCTGAGTACATGACTAGGTACAAGAGAGAGGTGGTTAAAGAGAGAGGTTTTCAGGGATCATCTAAAGGCAGATAGATTAGGAGATAGCTGGACAGATTGGGGGTAGAGAGTTCCGTTAGATGGGAGAAGCTCAGGAGAAGTCCTGGAGGCAAGCATGGGAAGAGGTGACATGGTAACTAGAGAGCAGAAGGTCTTGTAAGGATCGGCGAGAGCGGTTTGGTTGATATTTTGAGACCATGTTGGTAATGTAGCTGGGGGAAGAGTTGCGTATAATTTTGTAAGTTGTTGTTAGTATTTGCCAGGATTGTTTGGGGTAACAGTATATGTGGTCCTGGATACACTTGTGGTTTCTTTTATCAACTTCAGTTAGTTTGAACTCCAACCACACTAAAAACAATGTCAGCGCATAATGTCAGAGGATGCTTGCTGGTTTTAAGGACTGCACGCTGCTTCTGCACTCTTTATAACATGTCTGCAGTGCATATTGTGATTACCTGCAAGCATTTGTTTTGCCATTTTGCCAGTGAATGCTGCCCACTTCTGAAGAGTACTTCATGAATATTTATATTTGCATGCATGATGGCAACCTCATACACAAATTTAAAAAGGTGAACAGAGGAAGCCATGACACAAAATCAGACTGACATTTAGTCACACGCTGTGTTTGTTCAGATTTAATACCTTGTGTTTAGAAAAATTCCATCTAACTGTTCTCCTTTAGTACAGGAACTAAAATCTCCAGCCATTTCTCTGTTAGAGCATGTTTGCACAACAACATTTTCATACAATACTAAAATCTTTTCATTTCAAAAGAACATAGCATTTCCATAGATTAGTTTAGCATTTTACTCACAAATTAAATCTATTGATGCTACCGTTAATTTATTCTCTCCAAGAGTCTACAGTAAATATATTAACATGTTTATGTGAATATTATAGGACTGTATATGCATTTGTGGATTTTTTTCTTACTTAAGGGCATTATACACATTTCTAGCTAGATGTTAGTGTAGTTCTAATCCCTGTGTTGCTGCCTCCACTGGATTACCAGTAAGCAGTTGTAGACATTACTGTACATTGACCCTGTAGTGTTTCCTAAAGCTAAGAACTGAGGACAAGACAGAAGGTTAATAGTCTTAATCCTCATTTTTTTCAGTGTAGTTCCCCACATGCTTCACCCACTAGGCTGCCGCTAGCTAATCTGGAATACATTAAAGGTGGAGTGAACCAGTTTTAAAGGCACAAGTCTAATGGTTTCAACCCATAAAAAAAATGTAAGTAGAAAAGCTCTCTATGCCCACATATGAACCAGAGGTAGACAAAAAAACCCTAGTATTGTCCATATAGCATTGTCCAATTTGCTCTAACGGGACAAAAATGATTCCTGATCCCCTAAGGCAATCAAATATTCCCTGGATCAACAATCTCTAGTGTTATTACTTATACATTTTAATATTCATTTATATGATGTTCATTTAGTAGTGCATCCACCTTTTTTTAACAATCTGCTGAGCTGGCATTTTCACAGTTCTTACTGCGAAGAAGCCTTTCAGTATGCACAGACTTTGCCCTTTTCAACCAGATGCTGAATTCCTCCTTGTTCTTTGCAATGACATTACAGTCAATAACTTTGCACAAAGTTCATTTTCTGGACCATATATTTATTTATACATGGTGATTTACCCATCCCTAATTGCCTCTTCTGAAAGTAGAATACATTCAATTCAGCTAATCTTTACTTATAGCTTCATCCCTATTGTCAGTTAAGTTGTGAGCTGGTGCCCAAAGCTGAAATGCCTACTCCAGATAAGGTCTTACTAATACTTTCTAGGGGGACAAGATTCTGGAATCTATGCCTCTTTTAACCACTTCCCGTCCGGTTCATGTACATAAATGGCCAGATAGGAGTAGTGCAGAAGCGGGTGGCCATTTATAAATGGCCTCTGCATTCACTGCCTGTGTGCGCTCCCTGGGTGTGCGCAGCACCATGATCCGGTGCCCGCTGTGTCCTCCAGACACAGCAAAACACCGTTCGATGTATGTGACCTCTGCGTGAGGTCCCGATTCATGTTGTCACTGATTGGCCAGTCAGTGATCACAGAACAGTAGTAAACAAGATGTCACTTCCTGACATTATTGCTTACTACTAGTGAAATCTATGAATGATCACAGAGGTCACATGGTACAAGGCTATTCAGAACAGCCTTGTACCATGTGACAAGCTGTGACCAATCAGAGCTCTCACAGTATTTCTCAATGGCTGCAGGAATGGAGCCAGAGAGGAGACATTATTGCTTTTACAGCTTTTATGGGTGTAAAAGCAATCAGTGTAAAATAAAAAAAGAAAATCTTCATAACCCCTCACAAGTAGTACAGTGTCACTATGGTGACACTGTACTGCTATGGTGATGGTATGATAAAAAAAAAACATAACTAATAATATTAAAAAATAATTAAAAATGTACAAAACATTTTTGAAAAATTATTTTTGGTTATAAACT